TTTTCCTATTTCCATACTGGTTTGAGAATGGCTTCTTTTACTAAGAGGATAGTATTAACTAGATACTATTTTCCATTTGATCGACAAGGCAGAACGTTAAAGAAAAACACGTTAAAAATGCACGAATCGCGACGAAAACATATTAACTATGAACGAGACACGGTTTCAACCGTTGTCTCTTAATGTCGCGAATTCGTATTTTCGCATCGTAAAAACGAATAATTTTTGCAACAGGGAAACAATTACATATTAACGAAATTTACTTTTATAATTTTTTTATTGACCCACATCCAGTCGTTACAACAAATTTCACCGCATATTCAACAAGTTCTTTCCATTTTTTTAATGGTCAAATTATGGTGAATCATATGAACGGAATAATACTAGTCTAGATAAAAGTAAATTGTTACATAAAATATCTATGCAGAATTATGAATTTATCATAAGATCATTCTAAATATTAGTTTTAATATATTTTCATAATAATTATGAATTCTTTTTTTTTTAATGACTTTCAATTTTTTTACATATCAAGCTAAATATGATAAGAAAATCATATAATATAATTCTAATCTTTACATTCTGATCCTCAAAGTTTTTTTGATAATCAGTGAGTGATGGAATAAAAAAAAAAAGAAAAAATATACATACAATATTAATATAATTGGCAGACGAATGTGTCCAATTTATATTAAGGAAGCAAACTTAAATTATGTAGTGCTAGAATTTAAAATTTCACTTGAAACAATTGAAAGACATAATTTTGTTGACATTTCCAAAAGCTTCTAAAAGGACTACGTCATTGTAGATGGCAAATTTTTGTCTGCTTTTCTCTTCGGATGTTGTCTTGTTTATTTTTGTGAATTAGTGTCCATACACATTCTCATCGCTGTATGCTATATAAAGGAAGAAATCTTCTTCATGATGTTCCTATGAAACATAATGAAATACAAATATTACAAATATGACAGATATTTATTTGTCTGAAATTATATAATTACCGCATAAAGAGAACCCATGGTAGCGCTTGTTGGAGGAATAATGTTGTTTACGAAGAAAAAGAGAGCATCCTCTGGACGTAAGTGAATTCGTTTGCGAATTAAAAAGTAAAACTGTCCCACAGTCAAATCAGATGGTACTAAGTATTTTTGTTTATCCAAATCACTAATTTTAGCTTTTGGAGCTTTCTCAACAATTACCTGGGAAATACAAATTTCTTCATCAAGATCAGTCACAAAATAATATAACGGAAAGTTTATATAATTTTAATTCTAATTTTCTGTTATATTTTAATGAAAAAAAAATTCATTTTTTGTTATTCCATTAACATTACTATTATAAAATGTTTGAACTTGGCCCATTGTCAAGATCAGAAAGCCAACCTTAAATTTTCATGTTTGATATCACGTACACATTTGACATTTATCCAAATTTCTGAAGTAATAACAATTTGTCTACATTTCCAATGTTTCACTCTATGCGTAAAAAATGAAATTTTCTGACACACGATCGAAATCGTGCGAAAAAAGGAGAAAATGCTTTCCCTTTCGTTCAATTCTATCAATCGAAAATTACAAGTAAGAGCATAAGTACGATCAATAGACTTGAGCAATGGCAAAGCGAGCGTATAAAGAAATCTGATACGAATGGTAAATTTAACCATTAGCGTCTTGCTCGGAAAAAAAAAATATTTTCATCATTTCGAAATGTGAGCATGTACGGCGTAGAAAGTCGACCTTGGTTCACTCCAGGCCAGAAAATTCTCGGGATACAGACTGAGACTCAATAACGAATTAAACTGTTCTAACTATTCGCAAAATAGCCTTAATCGCGATGAATTTATTTTTTAGAACGATCTGTCTGAGAAGAGAAGTAAATTCGTTTCCATTGGCAAAATAGTTAGCATTTTTAGACGTGATACTCACAGGAACTCTTTCAGGATATTTTCGTCGGATTTTTTCACCCTCGACCTTCCTCCTTTCAAAAGAGTGTTTCTCCTTGTAGTGAAACTTCATCATTCACGTAAACTTGCACGAGGTTCGTGCAATTTGATGGAACTGTTTATTACCGAAAGATTGTCGAATTCTTCGTTTCCCTACCGATTCATACGATGATTCCACACTGGAAATACGACGATACTCTTTACTTCTGTCACAACAATCACCGTGCGTCAGTTCGTCTGCGCACTGCTATTGCAATTTCCTTTTGCACTTTACGCGGACGCGAAATAGTCCCTCGGTTTTCTCTGCGAAATTCGACGAAAAATGTATCTGCGGATCGGACGATACCTCCTAATAATTTGTTTACACGCCTTGAGTAGACTCCGACGTGTTCTCGTGATATTTGTTCAATGGGATAAGAATGATATTGCTGATTTGCTTAATAGATAAAACAGTACCGTCTCTATAAGATTTTCCTTATACTATTATGCTATTATTTCGGAACGAAACTATGATATTGGCATTAATTTATCAGATTGACAAAATTTGCGAGAAAATTTTATCGTTCATTTGTATTTGAAAAAAAAGACGATCTTTTGCGGAACTTCATTTCCTGTTACATTATTCGTTTTAATCGTAACTTTTATTCACTTTACAATTTGTGTTTTTTTTTATTAAAGAATTCGGTTAATTTTCGCAAAAATTATACTTGCGGAAAAATTGATTGAATTGTTTGAATGACAAAATATAGAAATTAGGGATCTAATAGAACCTTAAATAAATACGAGTCTGTCAGTGATAAAGCTGACATGTTTTCCTTTACTACGCGTTTGATGACGCACGTTTTTTTTTCTCAATTTTGCGAAGAATCTTTGCATGCTTGTATGATAATTTTGGTTCTTCTTTTCTTTATGATAATCGAACGCATGATTTATTACATACTTTACATTTTGCATTTATTGTAATTTCATTTTTAAGTGGATTTAATCCGGTTAAATCAATTTTATAAAAACTAACGAATATTTGGATGATTTTGTACTTTTCAAAAAATGCAAAAATTTTATTTTTTATTTATTTGTAGAAATATGTACAGATGTTCTGTAATTGCATATAGAATTAAGGCGAATTTTACTCTGCATCCTCTTCGTCATCATCCTCTTGACTGTTAATTTGGAAGTACCTTAACTCGTAGGTTTCTTTGTCTTTTGAGACAACACGTAACCAATCACGTAGTTTATTTTTTTTCAAATACTTTTTCGTCAAATATTTAAGATATCTATACAGACATATTACTAAATTAGTGCAAATATCGGTCATCTTGTAAAAGTATATGATA